TGTTCACTGACCAGTATCCTATCCGAATTATTCGCACAGATCAACAGATCACGTCAACTAAAAAATATTAAAAATTGTCATTATTATCCCAGGTATAGCCGTTGTAACGAAGCAGGGACAAAATTATAGAGAGTTTTTAAAAGTCTTATTTCTATCCGTTTTCTAGTTTTTGATTCATTTGTTTTCATCACTGCTTAGATCTTCATGCACGACAAGCATAATAATTATTTCTAACCTCCAAACCTGTTGCTGTTGTTAGATAAATTACAACTAACAGGCTGTCTAGATATTTATCGGTTGTGAATGGAAGTGCAAAAATATATCCAAGTACAATAAATATAAGCCGTAAACTTGAGAAAATAAACCAATGGTCGTGCTCGAGGGATGGTAGGGTGCGCCTGATAAAATTTCACCTCGGGCGCCAAAATCCATGCGACGGCCCTGACAACAGCGTGGTTTTGTATGGGTACACTTGTAAATTTTGGATTTGATAAGGTTTTGTGAGACTGTACAGTCTAAAGCTATTATAAGACTAATGAAACCAGTATTATCAGTAACACTGAATACTTATTTGTAGTTATGAATAAATGATGTCCGTTGACGGATCGTAAAATTAATCAGTTTTTTAACGCCGAGAAATAACAATAGTCGCAAGTCTTATTGATTCCAAACGATTCTTGACTAATTGTAAGTATTATTGTTATGTTATTTATGTTTATTTTATGGACAGTTAAACAAAGCGAGTAATTTTGCGATAGAGATATGACAAGGAACCCCTTTTGCATCTTCTTGGATTTTTAAATCGATTTAAGTCGATTCACAGCTGAGTGAACAAAAAATAAACTATGAGGCTAATTCCCAAAGATATACCACTCCTTCAATAAAAGTCCAACAAGTTTATTAATTGCATTAGGCTCAGTCCTTACCTATGTCCTCCTGTCCTACAGCATCCTTTAACAATACTAGACTTATCCCTGTGGAACAAATCGGATACCTTGGACTCTACTTAGACAAGCGTCTGACTTGTAATCCTCATACCAGACTGAAACGACAAGAAACCGCTCGACGTTTCCGACTACTCCAGCACTTACTAGACAAACGCTCAAGCTCCCAGTCAATTACAAACGACTCATATACATGGACTGCAATAAGGCCTATTTGGACTTATGGAATTGAGCTCTGGGGCTCCACTAAACCATCGAATTCCTCTCGTATCCAATCCTTACAAACCAAAATCCTCATTGCTCCTTAATTTGTCACAAACAAAACCATCCATAACGATCTTATAGTTCCTTATGTTTCTGCCCTGGCCCAATCCAAACTCTCTCGTTTCTAACCTTGCTTCTTCTTCGATCCCCGACAACCCACCGAGGCGTCTGAAAAGAAGATGGCCTCGAGATCTTCTTTTGTAAATACATTTTTAGAGGGCTACCAGTGGGTAGTTTTACATTTACTGAATGTATTTTTATTTGTAATACAGTTGTAAATATCATCAATAAAAATGGAAAAAAGTCTAATAAATTAAAATTAAAAAAAATAGATCTAGTTCAACCACTAATGAAAAGAACAATATTTTATAAAATATAACACAATGGTTCTGAGAAATGTTAAAATTTTCTTTAAATTAAAAAAAACAAATAGAAAAGAAACATTGATATAATAAAATCAAAGATATAATAAAATCAATAAATGGTTTAAAAAAAATTGGATTAATATATTCAAATAAGGGAATGATCTTCGCCTTGGACTTTGAAACTCGTAAGTTTTTTTTCCGCCAAACCGGTTTGGACTCAAATGTCATTTCCAATTCTCTAAGAGGTTTTACCATTATTTCTTGTAAAATAATGTTTGTTTGTTTTTCAAAGGAAGATAATTTTTAAACATAAAAAGAGTAATTGAAATATCTTTTGAAAAAATTAATTATATTAATACTTGTTCAAGTAGAAATACTTTCAAGTAGAAATAGATGCCAGAAAATGAAATTTCTGTGCCTAAGTATTACAACTTCAACAAGTATAAATATAATTAATTTTTTCAAAAGATATTTCAATTACTCTTTTAATGTTTAAAAATTACCATTTATAATATGTAATACATATTTATATATCTATGAGATGTTTTATTTATTTTTCATTAATATTTTGCTATATCTAGGGAGCGGGGCAGCTCAGTAAGTACGGCATTGACTTCTAGTGCTGTAAGGTCTAGGGCAAGAATCCGACTGTGGCATTTAATTATTTATTCTGTTACATCAACCGCGGATCGACCCAGGTATCAGGAGATATCCTCTTGGGGCACACCCAGCCTCTATAAGATGGACACTTTTAATTATACAATTAAGAGGAAAAACCTAGCGATTGAGCGTGATTGGATCGAATCAATCGCCTTCCTGCTAAACGGTGGGCTTGAAACAAGTACTGCCACTAGCTGTACCTGTAGTGGTGCAGATATTCTTTTTATTTATTTGTATCATTTTGTTTTGCTATATCTAAATAATAAATAAAAGTTCTCGTTCCAAAAGAACTGAAAAACTATCGACAGTAAAAACTCCAGTGACACCGAAACTTTTTAAATGTAAAATTGTTTTTACCTTGATTTAAGCAATCAATGTAGAATTATATTACTTCAAAAAAGTCCTAAAATAAACTCGAATTTAAATTTATTGTTTTGTAATTAGTTATACTATTAAAGATATTGGTATTTCTTAGTAAAAAATACAATAATTTCCTAATGGCTATAAAACTTTAATTAAAAACAAAACAAAACATAATTCATAAATGATTAGCAGTGTTTATTATTTGCAGGACAATGCCCCGACGCTGTTTCGTATTATTTCGCAACATTAAAAAATATTTCTTTAGATCTAAGGTATAGATTTTCATAATCGGAATATAATGGACATATCGCGATAATTAAATTTTATCTATTCATTTTAAGTGAAAATTTTACTTAAATGATTTACTTTTTGAAATATAACACCTATATCTTTCATATCAAAACATTATTTTATTACCGTTATTATCACAAAAAAGATAAGATGTTTAATATAAATCCTTATATTTAAGGTGAACTTGATTCATTTTGTTGATCTTGGAATAGTCAACAAAACATCCTACTGATAAGGATTTATGATTTTCTTGATGAGCAATGGAATAAAGCTTATTGAGGACAAACAAGCTTGCCCCTTGATTGTATCATCAACAAACAAATCGAAGAAGATTAATAATAGTATCTATTTGTATTATAGTTGAAAAAAATCAATCCAGTTATGAAAATGGCATTTTATAATCATGTTTTTTTTTTTTAAAGCGAGAACTGGTATTTTTTTTCCAAAAAAGTAAGGTCACAAATTTGAGTTAACTCGTTATTTATTTAAATTAAAAACCTTCCTATTGTGATTTTAATTTGTATTACTAAAAATTAAACTGAAGGAATATTATGAATGAAATTCACGTCCTGAATTCATAATGACATGTTACAGTAAAATAACAGTTATTTGCATTAGTAATAATACTTTTCAAGTAAAGAAAATCTTTTACTATTTTTCGTAAATATTTTTTATTAACCGTTTGAATGTAAAACAACTCAGCTAATTGAGACATAACCTTACTTAAAATTATCATAATAAATTCAAACATACTATCGGGGTATTTCACAACAAATTAAAATATATCTTTGCCTGTATTTAAACAGTGCTTATTTTTTTAGAATAAGAACACAAAAAAAATATATTAATTTCGTAAATAAATGCTCTTTTTTTCTAAAAAAATAATTGTTTTTTGTTTCTTTAAAAAAAAAAAATTAAAATTCAACATTATATGTAATTTTTCTCGAGAGTATTTTATTATTTTGAAATGGCTCAGTGTATGAGTAAAACCACACGAATCACTTTCGAAACAAGAAGTCTTGCGGATTTCTTGTTAATCAGTCCTAAAAATTTGACAATATATTTTAAAAATAATATAACAATTAAATTGGAAAGAGATTTCTTTGGATGACAATATTTGCAGGAAAATATTTATTTTTATGAATTTAGAATAATTTACAATCTTCCGTTATACATATTTAAGTATGCATCAATGCAAAAAATATAACCCCTACTAGAATAATTTATGCGATATAATTAAACATAATAAATTAAAGTAGTTCAATTACTGTTTCTATGGTTACTAAACTTTTTTGTATAAGAGACTGATCTTATTTTTTTTTAAATCACTAGAAAGGGAAAATGATTTATTTTTAATTATTTTATTTTTGACAAATTAAGTAATAAACCGTAGAGGTACTTCAATAAAGTAGAAATATGCTTTTGCAATAAAAAATAAAACAAAATAATGATTTAATTAATTGTTTGATTTATAATATATTTTATGCTAAATTAAATACTCTGGATCTTGTAATAAAAAAAACGGTGATGTTAAAAATTTAAATTTTTTTTATTTAAAAAAATATTATCATGAATCTATTAATTTTACTATAACTTCGTATAATATGCAAACATATTTGGTTGCTAAAGTTAATGAAACTTTAATGCCAATTATATAACTACACCAATTATAAAAATTTATCAATCTTCTTCATAACATAAAACACTTGTTCGAATTCATTATTGAAAATTAGTAATAGAATAATTGATCCTCAAGGGGATTTAAAATTTAAATTTTGGAAGTTTGTGTCAATTTTATCATTTTATTTGACTTTGAAAAGTTATGCAATTTTAAAGATGCTTACCGATCTCCCAACAATCCTTCATCGACAACATTAACAATAAAATCCCTCGAATTCCAGGGAATTTTCCAGATGATGAAGCACAGATACTACTCGCATATAATATAATCCGCAGACTGACAGATCTAAGCCGAATATGCCTCATCCAAAGGGAATGAACACTGTTTACATACTTACAGGAGTAATGCCGCAGATAAGGCACGTAGGCTAGAGCGGATGACGGAGGCTCCTATAGTAACTATAACAACTATAATGTTATCCAGACGACTCACCAGTGTCGGGAGGAAAGGCAGCCGCCAGGATGGGACGGGGAGGGACATGGACCTCTGGTACATGTGGAGTCGCCGCTCCTCCATGTCGCACACAGGACGATCGGATCACTACTGAAGGAGGACCATTGTTTACCTTCGTATCTAGAGCTCTTCGAGGAGTGGGAACTGGGCGTATCCACTTCGTATCGTCTGGGGACAGTCAGTCATGTCTAAGGGTGATCCCTCTGCTCTCCGAAGGATAATTGTCATCTCATTCTATGTATTTCAAAAGATAATCGAATCATCAGGTTGATGAAGGTGGATAAGATTTATATATTTTTCTAAGCCTTCGACCACAATTATTCTACATTTTATTACAACAAAAATTAAAAAGAATTTTTAAAAAAAGTACCTAGAACAAACTATTACATGTTTTTAAGCTGAAACAAGAAATGTCACCCAATCTCACCCAGAGATTTCGGAAATATCAACATACCTATATTATAATTTAACTATAAAAACACGTCACTTTTTCCAAAAAAGAAAACTAAATAAAAAAAATATATATCTCATGGAAAGCACCTCAATTGTGAGCACTTGAAAATGAGATAATTTTAATACTATACCCGAGAAATAATATTGAATTAATCATTTTTATATATATTGTCGGTTTATTGAAAAACGTCACTAAGTACGTAAAAATACAGCAAGTTTACTAAAATGACACAAACCCTTTTGTGAAATGGTCTTCTTCTTTATAATGAAAATGTAAACTATTGTTGATATTTTCCCAATTATTAATTAATATATGATTGATAGTTAATAGATTAATTAGTTAATTAATTGATTTTGAGTGCCTTCATTTTTCTATGGTGATGAATTTGATCGATTTTTCTTTAGTCTTTATTAATGAGTTTTTTATCAAAAAAAGTTTAATACTTTTATAGGTTTTTAATAATCAGTTCAATGATGATTTTCTTGCATTCTTTTGATTATTTTTTTTTTGTCTCTGAGCAATTTAATTGTTTTTTTATTTTGTTTTTTTGCGAAAATGTGTCAAACAAATGTATCAATTTATTAATATTAATAGATTGATACTGTTATTTTATAATAAGAAATGTATAAATATGTGATTGCTACTATTACAAACCTAAGAATTTAATTTAAAGTTAATCCTCTTTCTATATTTGCAAACATTAAATACCTCGTGGACCGAAATATCCGTATATTGTTTATTTAAGTTTCGATATTTTTGTCAGCTATCGATACTATATTAATCTCTCTCTCTCTTTTTCTCGCCTCTACCCTAAAGGGTCATTGGCGTTTTCTTATAATTTAAACTCTGTTATAGTAGTTGATAATCTTTAAAAATTTAAACAGGATAGAGACTCTCTCTTCATTGTCTTTTAGTATTTCGTTTAGTGTTTTTCCTAGTTTTATTTTTTCTCTGAGCATTTCGAATTGGGAACATTCTACTAGAAGGTGTTTCACAGTTTGCGGTGTATTGTTACATTTTTCGCATGTAGGAGCTTCTAGGCCTCTTAAAAGATAGCTATGAGTGAACTGGCAGTGCCCAATCCTTAGGCGGCACAGTATAATTTCTTCACGCCTGGACTTTCTGTTGCTAGTGAGCCATTTATCGCAATTGGGTTTCACTTCTTTCAGCTTACACTCTTTGATCCTCCACTCTTTTTCCCACTCTGCCAGTTGTTTTTTTCTTTATTTCGTGTACCTAGTCTTCTAAATTGATATTAATTACTATATTAATCGTTGTATAAATTCCTATAATTTTTTAAAGATTAATTTCCTAAGTTACGGTATTCGATATTAAGAAGTGTCGACGTTGTCTTCAGTGCAGGTAAAATGCCCTGATGATGACCCACAAGCTTGGATTGAAACGGTGGCAATAAAAATCCTAAAAACTGACTGACTGACTGACCTTACTATCAATCGCCCATAAATTGTAATTAGTAAATCTATGGTGTTTGAATAGGAAAAAAAAAGTTTGTGATTAATTCCTTTACCAAAATTTAGTTGTTTTCATAATCATTTAGTAACTTTTGTAAAACATATTAGGAATAATTTTTGTAAAAAAATAACAGAAACATATTAGATAGATGAAAAATGGATTCGACTTGTAGTCCAAAATGTATTTAACCTATGCAATTTATTTGAAGGACTAGGACAATCCATTGTCTAGTAAGTAAGAATGGATGGCATATGTTTTCAAAACACTAGAAAACATTCATAATAATAAAAACTATTTAAGACATTTCAAAAAGAACAAAAAACAAAGAGCTAAGAAGTATGTTTTCTTTCTGAATTGGTGGTGTGATAAGTGCTGGTAAAAAAATATAAAACTAAACAATAACGTTATTAATATTTGTCAATGAACCTGACTTATTTTTTAACCTGTCAACTTTACTGGGTGCATTAATGAGGTAGGTAGTCAGTAGCTAATTTGTAAACAGAACAAAACAAACAGTTAAAGATAAACTGTGCAGGGAAACTGAAATATAATCGTGGCCAAGGATCTTTCTTCTTCCCTCGCAAGATATTTTATTCCCCTCTCCTTCTTAAAAAAAAGTTAAATTAAAAGTAGCGTAGACCATGCATTTTTTTCTTTTCTTTTTTCCCCTTCCTCGCCTTTAGGCTATAATGAGTTTTTCCTGGTCCAGGGGAGAAGGCGGGAGAATAATGCTAGAGTTAAAAGTCCTCCGGCACCGGGATTTGAACTCGTAAACTTCGGTTTATCGGCCACCTCACGCCTGATAAAATTACAATTGCTGCGGTCTGTTCCATGTTTTTTCTTTGTCTCCTGGTTTAAAAATTTTCATTCAGAAAATCCATAAAGTTATCGAAACGAAACTCTCAAAAATTCGAAATCCCATCAAAATTACCCTCCTTAAAAATTTTGATTGCTCAACTTTCTCCTTGAAACTCCCTTCTGGGCCTCCCTTTAAAATTTTATAGCTAAATACTTTTTTAATGCAAGAGTTTATATTTCAAATGTACAATTGATTTTGTTTTATAAATGAAGTTTTTAAATATAACATTCGATTGCAAAGTTAAGAAAACACGAAATATGAGACCACAAAATATTTTAGGTATCATTATGATTCACAGCTAATTAATGTATGAGAAGTAATCTTATCGTTATGACGTGTAATGTGAGACAGGGATCCCAGGAAGATAAACAATTTCATGTAACCATTAATTCAAAAATAGTTTAGTGACGAAAGCATGTTATAATTTATTTAGGATTATTACATCTTTACCTTGAATCCAAGATTCTTTTTTATTTTTAGATATTTTAGCTATAAATATAACATGATACATGATATAAAATAAATGAAAACCATAAACCCTTTGAAAATATAAAGTAATAATAAATAAAACTATTATAAATTATAAAAAAAATAATAAATAACAATGAGCAAGCCTATGTTAATTTAAATCCGCCAACCACAAACGAGTAACTGGACTGCTTATTGATTTAAATGATAAACACTATATTTATGCTGTTTCCATAATTGTATAGTAACAAATCTTTAAAAAACGATTTTCAACTTAATTGAAAATTTAAAACAGATAAGGCAATGGACAACAATGGCGAGTTAATGGTATTCATAACTGTGGTAGGAAACAAATTTCGAAATATCGTTGTTGTAAATACGAAACAACAACAGCTGCTACTAGAATATCTAATCTATTACAACTAAACAACAGTTGTTTATAAGAAATAAATAACTTATGTTTGTGGGAAAGGTATAATATAGGAGCTGTTACTGACGCACAATTCCAGGTCTCTAAATTGCTATTAAGTTGCATATTTCGCCCTTCTCTCCCACTATAAAATCCAGAAAATAGTTGTCAAAATATTTTATTTGATAAAGAGTCGCAAAAATAGATCAGTTGGCGGGTATATCAAGATCCAAAATGTGTTGTAAGAATCAATCAACATCACCCTTTCACTCTTGTAAAGGAGTAAAGCAGGGGTCAAATATTAGTTCTCTGCTTTTCATCCTTTGTTTTTATATACATACACATTTCTTTATTGAATAAGATTACATTTCGTCACAATTAAGGGCATTGGTAATAGTGATTGTGTAGCTCATTCACACTTAATGTACAATAAATAAAATAGAAAAATAATATTACTAAAAATAAAGGTATATAAACCAAATTAATTAATCAGTACATGAACAACCTCAGTGCTCAAACCACGCCCTGAAGATGGCCCACATGTTTGGGTTGAAACGTTAACAAAAATAAAATAAAAATTTAAAAAAGACTGCGCCCTGAATATTTATCACCCATGATATGTAGAACAGTCGACTAACTTTCTTCAATAATTCATCAAATTAATTAAACTAATCAAAATAACAACTTGAATATAGGCGTACTTTTACCCAATATTTACAAAATTCCTTCACGCAGAACTCCGAGTCAAGTCTTTCCTCCAACTGGAAGGAAAGGCAGGACCCTAGGAGATCCCAGCGTCTCTTTCAACTTTTAGTATATGAAAGAAATCCTTACAAATTTAACCCTACAAACACCCACCTATCCATATACATATTACATACCCCTTTACTTCCCATTCCCCCTCACACACCAATACTCAGGTAATTCTCCTTCACCCACCCCTCTAACCATTCCTTCTCCCATCCGACGCCCTCCACTACCTCCACCCGCACTATTACACCAGAGATATTCGGCTAGAAGTGGGTGTGTTTCCCAAAATCCCACCTTCCTTCCATTATTCTAACGAAATAAGGAATTCGTGTAAAAAAGTATCACAAGAGCAGTAGTGTGGTATGTCAATGCAAGTCCTGTACAGACTCAAACCATGATCTATGGGTATGAGCGGCAACAACAAGACGTACCATTCCGGAGATGAGAATACTAGCTAGGAACAGAGACGAATCGGCTAGGTGGACAAAGTCTGCTTCATTACTTCATTAACGGCACGTAGGAGTTAAAGGAACAAGGAAAGATGTTTGAAATTTTCCTTCGGGAGCGTGCAGCGGTTCTTAATTGAAACTCAATTTTGGGATGGTGTGATGATTTTCATATATGGTCTAATGCAATCTCGGAAAGAGTAT